AATAGTAATGAATGTATAATTATATATTCAGCTCTTTGTTGTAGCTTATCTTAGATTATTAGCGATTCAAGTAATTCAAGTGATTCAAGCTTATTGGATCATCTACTGATTCAATAATCCGTTTCTGCTGTAATCCTTATTCTGGATTATATAATTACTGTTGATTATCTAATATTGAGTTGTAATATCTAGTTCCTTATTTAGTAAGCCTGTTCTGCAACCTGCATATTGAATAGATTATAATATTATTCCCTTTCTATCAGTTATTATTCTCAATGATCTTCTATAAGCATTCTAGCAAGCTATTCTTGTATATGATTATGCTTTTCTAATTTGTTATATTGAATAGAATCAACAAGTTTTGTATTCCTAAGTTCTGCTCTCGAAAAACTATAGAATGCGAAAGTCTTCTTTCTGCTATTCTTCAAAATTCCTTCATTATGCTTTTCTATTCGTTTTGTAAGGATCAGAAAATTCCTTCCTATTAGATTTTTCCTTTCGATTCCTCCTGTTGCACTGAATGCATTTAGCTTAATCATTCCTGCTGCAATGTATAGAGTATTAGCTTTTCGGAATTGTATAAAATTGCTACTTAATATCAGGAATTGGAAGATAAGTTGCAAGCTGCTGAGAAGAAGGTTTTTCAGTTATGTAAATAGAAGAGAATATAGTTTGAAAAGATAATATATGCTATTCATTATAATATTAATAATGTAGAAGAGCTGAATTGTATTAAAGCTGAGAAGATTAAAGAGAAGTATTGTTATGCTGCTGTTGCTATGTAGAAAATTGTATTCGAGAAGTTAGCTATAGTTGCTAGAGATTCCTTTTTTGAAAGACTTGATTGGAATTCTGTAGATATAAGGAATTCTGTAGTAAACTGATTAGGTTTTCTAGAGAGTGAGATTTCTAAAGCTTCTGGATTTCGATTTGGAGCGGAGCAATTGTTCTAGATGCTAATTTCTTTCCTTTTTCAATACTCAGCTATCTTTTTCTAAGTATTTTTAATATTTTCCTATAATTTCTATAAATTCTTGCTTGCTAAATAATCTTTTTATTTGATAAGATATTCTTGCATATTATTTATATTTCTATACTTGAGAATCTTCTTCATCTTATACTCTGATTTATTATTTTTTACTTTTGCTATATTATTCATTAATATTTCCTATACTGCTAGTTTCAGCAGTAAGATGTGAAATACTGAATATATTCTTATTTTATAAAATAGTACTAACTTGTAATTAACTAAGAAAATCTATTACAAGATTTTAAATAGTTCTAACTTCTTATAATTAAGTTTGTTATTAGGTTTAGTTATTTTAATGTTTTTTCGAAGCAAATAGATCTTATTTCTCTTCTGTAGAGTTAGTTTCTTAATTCTTTTAGAGTTTGCATACTGTATTATTCGTTTCTGAATGAATTATAGCTCTAATTGAAGTTTTTTCTAAACTTTTTTGATTTTTCTAATCTTCTTATTTGCAGCTTCTGCATCTGCTTTTAGCAGCATTTTATAGTAAGCTGTTGAATTATATTTATAAAGTATAAAGAATAGAGACTTCTTTATTATACTTATATTTATACTATTATAAGTAAACTATATAAGAAGCAATAGATTAATTTAATTATTCTGTTTCTAGTTGGTATAGTATTAAAAATATTATTTAATAATCTGATTTATTTTTTCTATTTATTCATCTATTTATAAATAAAATGCTATAAACATTCTGTAGTATATTCCGAGCTGTTTTGTAAGTAAAATTTAGAATTTTAAATTAAACTTTCTATCTCTATTGGAGATTACTTCTTCTAATATGCTATAATTAGCAATAATTATTCTGAGGAATATATATGCAAGTTCTTCTGCTATACTGCTTTTCTTATAGAAAAGAAAATAAGTATATTTGCTTAGTTTGCAAATTATTATTAAAATGCTATTATATTATATTTTAGTTAAGAGTTCTTATAAGAGAAGTAGCTTGATAATAAAGTTTAGATTAATAGATTGCTATATAGTTATAAATATTAGTAAGAAGTGCAGTAGTCTATAAAGCTTATATTTTTCTGCTTTATTTTTCTTATAGCTATTGCATTATTATAAAAGATCTTTAATTCTTTTTCTAAAGCTTAGCAAATTCTAGTATTTTTTAATATATTTATAGATTGCTCTAATTCTCTGATATTTATATGCTAGTATATTGTATATATTCTTGATATAGCTATCTTATTTATCTAAAGTTATTAATTCTAAATTCTTTTCTAAAGATCTGATTCTAAAGATAGTATTCAGCTTTTTATATATATTAATGAGATTCTCTGATTCATTTTGAGTAAAGATGTTTTATATATTTGAGAAATCTGTATTTTAATAGTTTGATTTTCTGCTGAAAGCATCTGCTTATCTATTTTCTGAATCTTTGTAATATATAATCTTAAAATTAAATTATAAGAAAAACTCTGCTTATCTGATTTATTATTTATTCAAAATCTTAATTATTATGAATATAATTAGATTCTTATAATCCAAGTAAATTATAATTGAGTATTATATATTAATAAGATAGTATTGCTATTTTTTGAAAGCTTTTATTATTGCTATAAGTTTCTAATCTGGGATTCTATAGTTGATTTCTAAACTGTTTAACTTTTTCAAAAAGTTGCTTATAATTCTTAGATATTCTTAATTATTTTGCTAATTAAGTTATTCTCTGAGTATATATTCCGATATATTAATCTTAATTTCAAATAGTTTATAAGAATCTGCTTTATACAGAATTAGCTTTAAGATAATATATCTGATAATCTTGTTAAAAGCTTTCTATATTTTGAAAGTTTATTCGAAAAACTGCTTCTTTTTAGTGAGATTTGTAAGAAGGAATGTAATTCAGCTATAATTCTTAATGAATTATTTGTAGAAATTAATATATTTGAGAAAAGATTTAATATTTCTAATATTCTTAAAAACTAGCTAATTTCTAATAGCTTTTATCTTATCTTTCTATAGCTTAATGCATTCTGATTTAATTATAAATTCGAAATAATTAACTTTTTATATATAAAAGTAACTTTTTATAGATTTTATAAGAAGTTTTGCATTCTAAAGCATTTATAATACTATTTCTATCTACTTCTTATATTTTTCTAATATCCGAAAGTAAATAAGAATATTATTAAGATATGCAATTATAAACTAATTAAGATACTTATATAGAATATAATTAATTATTTCTTAAAATAAAGCTAGAATATTTGTTAAATTAAAGAGTATAATCAAATATTTATAGTATTTATAATATATTCTGAAAGCAGTTTTCCATTCTTTTTCTTTTTTTACTCTGATTGGATTATAAGCTTTTTTAAGATCTAGAGCTATAAATTATTATACTTTTTGCAGCTTATCTTATAATTTCTTAATAAATAATAATAAATATTAGTTTTTGATTATAATATTATTAAGTTATTTATAATCAATATATAACTTAAGTTTGCTATTCTTTTTGAATATAAATAGAATAAAGTATTCTGCTAATAATTATAATGATTATATATATTCTTTCTTAAGATTCTTATTAAAATACTGCTTAAATGCTTCGAATTATGCTTTATTTAATCTATAAATAAAAAAAAACTTGAATTATTTCTTTTTTTATAATAGAATCTTGTAATTATATAAGCTATATTCTGATAATTCTGTATTCAATTCTTTCTGAAATAACTTTTTGAACTTATAATACTTTTATAGTATTTCTGCAAGTATTAGTTTGGATTTATATTCTGTTTCTGCTATCTGAAGGAATAGTAAGTATTGTTAAGCATACTTCTTCTTGCTAGCTGTTAGTAGTATTTTCAGAAGCTTTGAATAGTTGCTTCAGGCTGAACTGAATGCTTGAGAGTCTGATTTCGAGATTTTCTTGTAAATCTATAATTCATATTCTGAAGCTTTCTGTTATAATCCATCCAACATGCAGATCACGAAACAGGTTACGAGTAACAAGAATCAGATATCAAGAACCCAACGTTCTAACAAAACATTGATTACATAACCCAGGGTTAGGGTTATAAGCACAGCTAATCAGGAAGGATAGCTTTGGATATGTGCTATTCAGAGCTAGCAGAATAACTTAGATATATTGCTATCCAACATATTCATACTGAAAAGCTGGATATATAATCATGCATTCATTATCATTAGATAGATTCAGTATATAGCTCTTCAGTTATCAATCTAAGTATTCAGTCTTACATACTGAGTAGCTCCAAAGGCAGTAAATACTTGCATTGCTTATTGAGAACTTGTATAGTTCCGTATTCAAGAACTTAATACTTTGATACTGCTCTTGTTAGCATAAACTCTTTGCATACTTTGGAATCTTCAGATTGCTATAATACTTATTATATTTTAATAACTCTTGTTCAAGAACAGTTCAGTATTATCCTCTTGAGCAATACGGAATACAATAGTGTAATGAGCACTGCAGCAATCCGAAGATTCCAAAGTACACAAAGGGGTTTATGCTAACAAGAGCGATGTCGAAGTGTCAAGTCCTTGAATACGGAACCATACAAGTCCTAATAAGCGATGCAAGTGTTCACTGCCTTTGGGGCTACTCAGTGTATGAGACTGAATACTTAGATTGATAACTGAAGAGCTATATACTGAATCCATCTAATAGTAATGAACATATCCTTATATATTCAGCTCTTCAGTCCTAACTATCCTAACTATGCTCCGATTCCTTATAGTTATTTCTCCAAATAGGTTGACTATGTCTATAGTTAACATAATTGCGCTAGCAATCCTAATTCGGGTTTCGTAATCTTGTTTGGTATCCGACGTTGAATCGTAATACCTGATTCCTTGATTAGTAGAGCCTATTCCGTAATCTGTATATTGGATGGATTATAACATCATCTCCCTCCTATCAGTCGTTATTCTCAACGATCTTCTGTAAGTATTCTAGCAAGTTCTTCGTATGCATGATCTTGCCTTCCTGATTGAGATGTTGAACAGAATCAACAAATCCCGTATTTGCAAATCTTCTTTCATTCCAAAAAGTACCCAAGATCGAGATCTCTTAATTTCCTATCTTTTGGAAAATTTTATTGAAATGCTCATCTATTCCTATTGCAAGAGGCATAGTTTCAGATCCTGCAAGGTATTTCCCGAAGACTCTTCTCGTTGCATCGAATGCGTTTGACTGAGCTGCTTCAAGTGCGACGTTATAAGCTCTTCCTCCGAGGAGCTTTGCAATATTGTTATCCAATATCGAAAGTTGGAGAATGAGATCGAGAAGAGGAAGACTGAGCTTTTCCATCTGTGCTAACAGAAGCGGATGTAGTTCGAGAAGATGAAACATGCTCTGCGTTGTGGTATTACTCGCGTAGAGGAATTGGATCGTGTGAAGGCTGAGAAGGCTGAGGCTGAGAGGGTGCGTATTGCTGCTGAAGTGCAGGCTGTAGTAGCAGAGGAATCTGCTGTTGTAGCTAGGGATTCTTCTTTTGAAGGTTTTGACTGGAACTCCGTGGATTTGGGAAGCTCTGTGGTAGATTGGTCGGGCTTCCTGGAGAATAAGGTTCCCGAGGCTTCTGAGTCTCGGTCCGGGGCAGAGCGATCATCCTAGATACTGGTTTCCTTCCTTTTCCAATACTCAGCTACTCTTTCTTGAGCGTTCTCAATGTTCTTCTGTGATTCCTATGAATTTTCGCTTGCTGAGTAATCTTTTCACTTGATAAGGTATTCTCTTGTGCTGTCTGTGCTTCTGTGTTTGAGAATCTTCTCTACTTCGTATTCTAGCTCATTATTTTCCACTTCTGCTGTGTTATCCACTAGTGCTTCCTGTGCTGCTGATTCCAACAGTAAGATGTGGAAAACCGGGTATATCCTCATCCCATGAGATAATGCTAATTCGTAGTTAACTGGAGAGATTTGTTGTAAGATTTTAAATAGTTTCAATTTCTTATAATCAAGTTTGTTGCTAGATTTAGTTGTTTTAATGTTTTTCTGAAGTAGATAAATCTTATCTTTCTTTTATAGGATTGGTTTCTTAATTCTTTTGAAGTTTGCATATTTGTAATGAGCACTGCAGCAATCCGAAGATTCCTAAGTACACGAAGGGGTTTATGCTAACAAGAGCGATGTCAAAGTGTCAAGTTCTTAAATACGGAACCGTACAAGTCCTGATAAGCGATGCAAGTATTCACTGCCTTTGGGGCTATCAGAGTAGAGAGTAATCTGATACTTAGATTAATAACTGAAGAGCTATATACTGAATCTATCTAATGGTAATGAACGAGTTCTTATATATCCAGCTCTTCAGTATGGCTCACCTTGGCTCACTACTGATCCGAATGATCCAGGCTTACTGGATCATCTAATGATCCAGTAATCCATCCCTGTTGTAACTCTAATCCTGAGTTATATAATCAATGTTTAGTTAGAACGTTGGATTCTTAACACCTGATTCTTGTTACTCGTAATCTGTTTCGTGATCTGTATATTGAATAAGTTATAACATTATCTCTCTTCTATCAATCGTTGTTCTTAACGATCTTCTGTAAGTATTCTAGCAAGTCTTCCGTCTGCATGATCTTGCTTTTCTAATCGAGATGTTGAACAGAATTAACAAATCTCGTGTTCTCAAGTTCCGTTCTCGAAAAACTAAGGAATGTAAAAACCTTCTTTCCGCTATTCTTCAACATTCCTTTACTATGCCTTTCTATTCGTTTTGTAAGGGCCGGAGCATTCCTTTCTGTTAAGTTTCCCCCCTCGATTTCTCCCATTACGCTGAATACGTTCGCCTCAATCGTTCCCGATGCGATGTACAGAGCGTTAGTCCTTCGGAGCTGCGCAAGATCGCTATTCAGCATCGAGAGCTGGAGGATGAGTTGCAGGCTGCTGAGGAGAAAGTTCTTCGGCTGCGCAAGCAGAAGAGGATGTGGTTTGAGAAGATGATGCGCGCTGTTCGTTGCAGCATCAACAATGTGGAGGAGCTGGATTGCGTCGAGGCTGAGGAAGCTGAAGAGGAACGTCGCTGTGCTGCTACTGCTGTGCAGGAAGCTGTTCTGGAGGAGTCGGCTGTGGCTGTCGGAGATTCTTCCTTTGAGAGGTTTGATTGGAATTCCGTAGATGTAAGGAATTCTGTGGTTGACTGATCGGGTTTTCTGAAGAGCGAGGTTTCCGAGGCTCCTGAATCTCGGTCCGGGGTGGAGCGGTTGTCTTAGATGCTGGTTTTCTTTTCTCAATATTCAGCTATCCTCTCCTGAGCGTTTTTGACGTTTTCCTATGATTCCCATGAATTTTCGCTTGCTGAGTAGCCTTTCCACTTGATAAGGTATTCCCTTGTGTTGTCTGTGCTTCTATGCTTGAGAATCTTTTCCATCTCATACTCTGGTTCGTTGTTTTCTACTTCTGCTGTATTATTCGTTAGTATTTTCTGTACTGCTAGCTCCAGCAGTGAAATGTGAAAAACTGGATATATTCTCATCCCATGAGATAATGCTAACTCGTAATTAACTAGGGAGATTTGTTGTAAGATTTTGAATAGTTCTAACTTCTTGTGATTGAGTTTGTTGCTGAGTCTGGTTGTTTTAATGTTTTTCCGAAGTAAATAGATCTTATCTTCCTTCTGTAGGATTGATTCTTCAATCCTTTTGGAGTTTGTATTGAACCAGAACTAGGGCGCCGTCGCCCTCGAAAGAAAAAGGGACAAACAGCTGCCGAAGCAATGGGCAAGGGCTCATGCAACCCAAGCGTGCCTGTACAGATGAGGACAGCAAACTAAGGCCACACGGGCACAAGAACAGGGTGAAAAACCTGTCTTAGACCTGTCCAAAGGGTTCAAAATTGAAAAGAAGAGAAAGGATGCTTCATTGTTGCTTATAGCTAAAGAATTTGAAAAGTGGGTGGTATCCTTTATATGTATGAGGACCCTTGACCCACTGTACTCCATGTCCCACGGACTACCACCCTGGCCACCACAACAGTATATTATATTATTTATTTCTGAATGAATTATAATTCTGATTGGAGTTCTTTCTGAACTTTCTTAATCTTCTTAATCCTTTTATTTGCAGCTTTTATATTTGCTTCTAGCAGTACTTTGTAGTAAGCTATTGGATTATATCTATAAAGCATAAAGAATAGTAACTTCTTTATTATACTTGTATCTGCACTATTATAAGCAAACTATGCAAGAAGCAATAGATTAATCTAATTATTCTGTTCTCAGTTAATATAGTATTGAAAATACTATTTAATAACTTAATTTATTCTTTCTATTTATTCATCTGTTTGCAGATAGAATGCTATGAATATTCTATAGTGTATTCTAAGCTGTTTCATAAGCAAAGTTCAAAACTTTGAATTGAACTTTCTATCTCTATTAGAGATTACTTCTTCTAGTATGCTGTAATTAGCAATAATCGTTCTAAGGAATATATATACAAGTTTCTCTGCTATACTGCTTTCCTTATAAAGAAGAAAGTAAGCATACTTGCTCAGTTTACAAACTATTACTAGAATGCTATCATATTGCACTTTAGTTAAGAGTTCTTATAAGAGAAGTAGCTTAATAATGAAGTTTAGACTAATAAATTATTAAATAATCATAAATACTGATAAGAGATGCAGTAATTTATAAAGCTTATATCTTTCTGCTTTATTTTTCTTATAGCTATTGCATTATTATAGAATGCTCTCAATCCTTTTTCTAAGATCTAATAGATTCCAATATCTTTTGATATATTCATAGATTGCTTTGATTTCCTGATATCTGTATGCTGGTATGCTATATATATTCTTGATATAATTATTCTATTTATTTGAAGTTATTAATTCTGGATTCTTCTCTAAGAATCCAATTCTGAAAGCAGCATTCAGCTCTCTATATACATTGATAAGATTTCCTAATTCATCTTGGGCAAAGATGTTCTATATATTCGAGGAATCTGCATCTCGATAGTCTGATCTTCTGCTAAAAGCATCCGCTTATCCGTTTTCTGAGCTTTTGCAGTGTACAATTCTGAAATCAAATTATAAAAGGAATTCTGCTTATCTAACTTATTGTTTGTTTAAGACTTTAGTTGTTATAAATGTAATCAGATTCTTATAATCTGAGTGAACTATAATTGAGTGCTATATACTAATAAGGTAGTATTGCTATTTCTCGAAAGCTTTTACTATTGCTATGAGCTTCTGATTAGGAATTCTGTAGTTGATTTCTGAGCTATTCAACTTCTTCGAGAAGTTGCTTACGATTCTTAGATATTCTTGATTATCTTGCTAATTAAGTTGTTTTCTAAGTACATATTCCGATGCATTAGTTTCCATTTTAAATGATTTATAAAGATCTGCTTTATATAGAATTGATTCTGAGGTAATATGCCTGATGATCTTATTGAAAGCTTTCTGTTTCTTGAAGATCTATTCGAAAAGCTGTTTCTTTTTAGTAAGATTTGTAAGAGAATGTGCGATCCGGCTGTAGTTCTTAATAAACTGCTTGTAGAAGTTAATGTATTCGAGGAAAGATCTAACATTTCTAATATTTTTAGGAATTAGCTAATTTCTAATAGCTTCTATCTTATCTTTCTGTAGCTTAATACATTCTAGCTTAATTATGAATCCGAGATAGTTAACTTTCTATATATAGAAGTAATTCTTTGCTAGTTCTATAAGAAGCTTTGTATCTTGAAGTATTTGCAATACTGTTTCCATATATTTTTTGTATTCTTTTAGTATTTGAGAGTAAATAAGAATATTATTAAGATATGCAATAATGAACTAGTTCAGATGCTTGCATAGAATATGATTAATTATTTCCTGAAATAAAGCTAAAGCATTTATTAAACTGAAGAGCATAATTAGATATTCGTAGTATTCGTAGCATATTCTGAAAGCAGTTTTCCATTCTTCTTCTTTCTTTACTCTAATGTTATAACCCATCCAACATGCAGGTCACGAAAACAAGTCACGAGTAACAAGGACCAGGTGTCAAGAACCCAACGTTCTGACAAAGCATTGATTACATACCCCAGGATTAGGGTTGTAAAGAAGGGAGGATCGTTGAGCTCGCCAGCGATCCCAACGAGCTTCACACCTTGGATCGCTGAGCTCGCCAGCGATCCCAACGAGCTGTACTGAAGAGCTGGATATATAAGAATACATTCATTACCATTAGATGAATTCAGTACATAGCTCTTCAGTTGTCAATCTAAGTATTCAGTCTCATACACTGAGTAGCCCCAAAGGCAGTGAATACTTGCATCGCTTATTAGGACTTGTACGGTTCCGTATTCAAGAACTTGATACTTTGATACCGCTCTTGTTAGCATAAACCCCTTCGTATACTTAGGAATCTTCGGATTGCTGCAGTGCTTATTACATTTTGACAACTCTTGTTCAAGAATGGTTTAGTGTTACTCCCTTGAGCAATACGGAATACGATGGCTCCTCCAGGAATCCCTTCGTCCTTGCGCGCCCCTACTCAGGAAGAACTGGTCAACTAGATATACCAGCTTATCCAGCGTATTCAGAATCTGCGCGAACAACAGCAGGCCCAGAGCGCTACCATCGCCAACCAATAAGCCCAGCTAGCTCAACAGGCTCAGCAGGCGCAATCTACCTCTGCAACCACTAGTGGCGCTGGAAAGATATACAAGATGAACAAACTCGCCATATATGATGGCAACCAGAAGATACTGCATGAATTCCTTATCCACTGCAGAGCGTATTTCCTGCACTACGAGACTCAGTTTATTAAAGAATCTGAGAAGATTATTCTTGCAGGAACTCATCTCGAAAAGAATGCTCTTATCTAGTACGAGCCTTCTCTACGCAACCATTTGGAGCATCAGAACAATCCCAATGCGCATACCCAGGATACCAAGAATATATTCGATTCCTTTGAGAGCTTCGAGAAAGCTCTCAAGAAGACCTTTAGTAACCCCAACGAAGAACGTACTACAGCCCAGCAGCTTATGAACCTCAGACAGACCAAGTTAGCTTCTGCTTATACAGTCAGATTCAAGCAGCTCTCAGCAAGATTTCTGTAAGAAGATAAGAATCTCATGGAATACTACTATAAGGGACTCAAGGACGATGTTAAGAACAAGATCTCCAAGCAGGATTAGCCGGAGAACTTCGCGACGTTCTCCAATCAAGCTATCTGCATCAACAATCGTCTGTATGAACGATAGATGGAGAAGTTCAAGAAGGGAGGAAGCTAGACTTGGAGATTTCCAGCTAATACAGGCAAGAAATTCCAAAACAAGAATAGCAGTTAATATAGCAGTACAGCTCAGAGCAGCACTACGCACGCCAGCCCCATGAAGCTCAACACAGCTAACAGGCAGTATAGCAAGAAGAATAGTATTACTTGCTATAACTGCAACAAATAAGAATACATTGCATGCAACTGCTATCAATCTTAAAAGAACAAATAGCAACTAGTTCAGAAAGGATGCTAGATGAATATTGCTCGATAACAGGAACTCAATCAACTGAGCAAAAATACTCTCTTGGAACAAGTATCAGACTCTATTGATCACGGAAGTCTCAGCTAGACATTCTGCTATAATGATAATTGCTTAATATACCTTTCGAGTAAGGAAGGTTCAGAATGGTTCTCTCAGAAACCTAGGCGCTGCAGATAAATAGCAACAGCAGGACGAGGGTGTATGCTCAGCACGACTACAAGCAGCAACAATTCAAACTGCTCCGATATTACTGAACAAAGCATTCAGGCACTGAAGAAAGGGCTTAACAACGGAGCTCTTCACCATTCTCCATCATCTGCACTAGATACTATAATCAGAGAAATGAATAAAGAATGATATCCTCTTGATTATTAGTATAAATACTTAAACAATATCGAAAACGCTTCTCAGGCGATGGAAAGATCAAGCTAGAACGAACAATCTAACGATTCACCGGAGTCTCCTGTAAACAATGAACCCAAGAAGCTTACAGGAAGATTTCCCTTCAGTATTGAGTAGAATAAGGAAACAACATGGATTGAATATCTCGTCTACGGAATAGGGCTGAAAGAGCTATTCACCTGCATCCCCTTGCAGAACATCGAGGCATGAGGAAACGAGGATTCTCGGATCAGCCCACTCCACGATCTACACTACGAACTAGCTTGAATCTCCTGCATCTATCATAGCTGCAAAGCGCATTTCTCAGACAAGATGCAATACGAATAGTTCCCTATCAGAGAATCAGAACAAATCCTTCAGGCTATTAAAGAAAAGAAACTCCGCTTCAGAGAGATTCTCAATAAACAGCACTACAATGCATACATCGGATTATCAGACAACTGCCCCATGCAATGCATAAACAAGGAAATAAAATAGTAGCAGTGCAAAATAACACTCTATACGATTTATATTAATAACAAGATTTGCAACTAGCATCAATAGAAGAAAGATCAGAAACAACGACGATATAAGCAAAAGCAAGCTAAGAAGCTCGCTCAAGAAGCAGCGAAGCAGGCTCAGAAGAACCAGCAGTTCTCGACAAATCCAAAAGGATAGGATTGCTTGTAAAGGGACTGCAGATGATCAGACCAGAACAGTCCCTATGTGAAGCTTTTAGAACAGATTACACTTACATCAAGTTCAATATATACATTCAAGGATACAAGTACAGCGCACTATTGAATAGTAATGCTCAGGGAAACTTCATATTCCCACACATCATCAATCAGGTATAACTACAATAGAGATAGAAGAGATGCTTATATACTCTCAGCACCATAGAAGAACAACCTATTGCATACAACCAAGGAGTAATCGATAAGAAGACTGATTATCTATCTATCTTGATCCAAGGATGTGTAACCAGAGCTTCCTTTGACATCACGGATATAGCATAACATAAGCTGATTATAGAGCTTCCATAGCTTAAGAAGCACAATTCTCGAATCAATTGGACTACTAGCTAGATCTCATGAGAACAAGCTGTACTCAGAGAAATAGTTACAATCAACAGCGTAGAATCGAAGCTAGTGGTTGAAGAACACTCAGGAAAAGAGGCTTCATACGACTTCATACATACCTCCAAGTTAGCAGGGCTAGCAGTTCAGAGAGAAGGATCTAATAATGAGCGAACCCAAATAGTGCTAGGGCGCCAACAGGTTAGCAAAACAACGGAAGCGAGACCCTCAGCAAGTCGGTCCGCCCCGGAGCAACAAGGAAAAGCTTCAGAAAGTGGATTATGGATCCACACAGGAAAAACCTCGAAACCAGGCCCTCAAGCGCCCGCTCCGGCCCGGAGCGAACGCTTAAGGCTCTCAAAAACGTTACCAAAAACAACGAACGAAAAGAAGCACGCTCAACAGTACCTACTGTTCCTTCAGATAGCAGAAACAGCACAGAAACCAGAACCAACACTTGCAAATATACCATGAGAATATTACAAGTTCAAGAAACTGTTCCAGGAAGAATTAAATACAGGATTGCTAGAATACAGCTCATATAATCACGAGATCCTGCTACAAGAAGAGAAACAGCCCAAATTCTTCCTTATCTACGAACTAAATAAAGCACAGCTAGAGGCACTTAGGAAGTACCTCAATGAGAACCTTAAGAAAGAATATATATGATCATCGCGATTACCAGCAGGATACCCTATCCTGTTTATACCTAAGAAAAACAGCAAGCTTAAGCTATGTATTGACTACAGGCAATTTAATGATATCATGATTAAGAACCAATACCCGTTGCTACTCATCAAGGAACTATGAGATAGGTTGCAAGAAGCACAGTAGTTCACAGTTCTGAATCTGAAAGAAGCTTATAACCTAATCAGAGTAAAGAAAGGAGAAGAATGGAAAACTGCTTTCAGAATATGCTATAAATACTACAAATATTTAGTTATGCTCTTTGGTTTAACAAATGCCTCAGCTTTGTTCCAGGAAATGATCAATTACATTCTATGCAAGCATCTGAATCAGTTCATTATTGCCTACCTCGATAACATTCTTATCTACTCTTGAATACTTGAAGAATATAAGAAATATGTAGAAACAGTATTGCGAACGCTTCAAGATGCAAAACTTCTTGTAGAATTCGCAAAGAATCACTTTCACATACAAAAAGTTAACTACTTCGGATTCACAATCAAGCCAGAATGCATCAAGCTGCAGAAAGATAAGATAGAAGCTGTTAGGAATTAGCTAATCCTCAGGAATATCAGAGATGTTAGATCTTTCCTAGAATACATCAACTTCTATAAGCAGTTTATTAAGAACTACAGCCGGATCGCACATTCTCTTATAAATCTCACCAAAAAGAAACAGCTCTTTAAATAGAACCCCAAGATACAAGAAGCTTTTGATAAGATCATTAAGCATATTACCTTAGAGCTAATTCTGTATAAAGCAGATCCCTATAAACTCTTTGAAGTTGAAACCGATGCATCGGGATATATACTTGGAGAACAACTTAGCTAGCAAGATGATTAAGAATGTTTAAGGATTGTAAGCAACTTCTTAAAGAAGTTGAATAGCTTGGAAATTAACTATAGAATCCCTAATTAGAAACTCATAGCAATAGTAAAAGCTTTCGAGAAGTAGCAATACTATCTCATTAGCATATAATATCCGATTATAGTTTACTCGGATTACAAGAATCTGATTATATTCATAACAACTAAGATTTTGAACAAGCAATAGATTAGATAGGCAGAATTCCTCTTACAGTTCAACTTTAAAATTGTATACTACAAAGGCTTAGAAAACGGATAAGCGGATGCTCTTAGCAGAAGATCAAACCATCGAGATGCAGATTCCTCGGATATACAGAATATCTTCGCTCAAAACGAGTTGGGAAATCTCATCAACATATATAGAGAACTGAACGCTGCTCTCAGAATCGAACCCTCGGAAAGGGATTCAGAATCAATAACTCTGGATGAACAAGATAACTACATCAGAGATATATACAGTATACCAGCATATGGATATCAGAGAGTTAGAGCAACCTATGAATACATTAAAAGACATTAGAACTCACTAGGTCTTAGAAAAAGAATTGAGAGTATTCTATAACAATACAATAGCTGCAAAAAGAATAAAGCAGAAAGATACAAGCCTTACAAACTACTGCACCCCTTATCAGTACTTACAACTATTTAGCAGTTCATCAGTCTAAACTTCATTATCAAGCTATCTCTCTTACAAGAACTCTTAACTAAGATGCAATACAATAGTATTCTAGTAGTGATTTGCAGACTGAGCAAGTATGCTTATTTTCTCTCTTATAAGGAAAGCAATACAGCAGAGAAACTCGCATATGCATTCCTCAGAATGATTATCGCTAACTACAGCATACCAAAGAAAGTGATTTCCAACAGAAATAGAAAGTTCAACTTAAAGTTTTGAACTTCGCTTATAAAACAACTCGGAATATACCATAGAATGTTTATAGCATTTCATCTGCAAACAGATGAATAGATAGAAAGAATAAATCAGATTGTTGAACAGTATTTTCAATACTATATTAATCAGAAACAGAACAACTGAGTTAATCTATTGCCCCTTGCATAATTCGCTTATAACAGCGCAGATACAAGTATGATGAAGAAGTTGCTATTCTTCGTACTCTACAGTTATAATCCAACAGCTTACTACAAAGCACTACTAGAAGCAGATGCAGAAGCTGCAGATAAAAGGATTAAGAAGATTAAGAAAGTTCAGAAGAAACTTCAATCAGAATTACAATTCGTTCAGAAACGAATGATACAATATGCAAACTCCAAAAGGATTGAGGAACCAATCCTACAGAAGAGAGATAAGGTTTACCTACTTCGGAAAAACATCAAAACAATCAAGCTCAGCGATAAACTTGATTATAAGAAGTTAGAACTATTCAAAATCTTGCAACAGATTTCTCTAGTTAACTACAAGTTAGCATTACCTCATGAAATGAGGATATACCCAGTCTTCCACATCTCACTGCTAGAATTAGCAGTACAGGAAATACTAATAGATAATACAGCAGAAATGGAAAATAATGAACCAGAATATGAGGTAGAGAAGATCCTCAAGCACAGAGGCACAGACAACACAAGGGAATACCTCATCAAATGGAAAGGTTACCCAGCAAGTGAAAATTCATGAGAACCACGAGAAAACGTTGAAAACGCTCAGGAAAAGGTAGCTGAATATTGGAAAAGGAAAACCAGCACCTAAGACGATCGCTCCGCCCCGGACCGAGATCCAAGGCTCTCAGAAGTCTCATTTCCCAGGAAACCCGACCAGTTAACCACAGAATTCCCCAGATCTACAGAATTCCAGTCAAAACCCTCAAAAGAAGAATCTCCAGCTACAACAGCAGATTCCTCAGCCACCACAGCCTGTACTTCGGCAGCAACACGCACCCTCTCAGCCTCAGCCTCCTCAGCCTTCTCTTTCTCAAGCTCTTCGAGATTCTTAAGATCTCAACGAATAGCCCGAGACATCCTCTTACGCCACATCTTCTTTTATTAACGCAATCGAAGCAACTTTAACTCCAACTCTTCTATCTTATTCTCCAGCTTTCAATGCTAAGTAGAGATAAGGAGAAGTTCAGCAGCATTCGTCGGCTCCAGAACATTGCACTTAGCGCAATTCTGGGAAACGCACTCCGAGCAACGGAATGAATCGTGAGAAGAAATAATACATGATTACAGGCCTCAACTGTTGCAATAAGAATAGGAATGCATATCGAAACCGTTTGAAAGAATGGACTGAAGAAGGAGATCTTTCTGCTTCTTTTTGTTAGAGCGAGGATTCAAAGATTTCGGTTTCGCGATTTTGTTGATTCTGTTCGGCATCTCGATTAGGAAGGCAAGATCATGAATACGGAGACTTGCCAGAATATTTACAGAAGATCGTTGGGAACAACAACTGATAGGAAGGAGATGATATTATAATCCATCCAACATGCAAGTTACGAAAACAAGTCACGAGTAACAAGAACCAGATGTTAAGAATCTAATATTCTAACAAAGCATTGATTACATACCCCAGGGTTAGGGTTGTAAAGAAGGAAGGATCGTTGAGCTTGCTAGCGATTTCAACGAGCTTTACACCTTGGATTGCTGGGCTCACTAGCGATCCCAACGAGCTGTACTGAAGAGCTGGATATATAAGGACACGTTCATTACCATTAGATGGATTCAGTACATAGCTCTTCAGTTGTCAATCTAAGTATTCAGTCTCATACACTGAGTAGCCCCAAAGGCAGTGAACACTTGCATCGCTTATTAGGACTTGTACGGTTCCGTATTCAAGGACTTGACACTTTAACACCGCTCTTGTTAGCATAAACCCCTTCGTATACTTAGGAATCTTCGGATTGCTGCAGTGCTCATTACATCTAATCAGATTGTAAGCTTCTTTCAAGTTTAGAACTGTAAATCACTATACTTCTTGCAATCTATCTTATAATTTCTTGATAAGTAGCAGCGGATATTAATTCTTAATTGTAATATTATTGAATTGCTTATAATCAATGTATAGCTTAAGCTTGCTATTCTTCTTGAGTATGAACAGAATAGAATATCCTGCTGAGGATTGCAATGATTGTATATACTTCTTCTTAAGATTCTTATCAAGATATTCCCTGAGTGCTTCTAGCTATACCTTATCTAATCCGTAGATAGGGAAGAATTTGAGCTGTTTCCCTTCTTGTAGCAGGATTTTGTAGTTATATGAGCTGTATTCTAGCAGTTCTGTATTCAATTCTTCCTGAAATAGTTTCTTAAACTTGTAATATTCTTGTAGTATGCTTGCGAGTGTTGGTTCTGATTCATGTGCTGTTTCTGCTATCTGGAGGAATAGTAGGTATTGTTAAGCGTGCTTCTTTTCGTTCGTTGTTTTTGGTGACGTTTTTGAGAGCTTTGAGCATTCGCTTCGGGCTGAACTGAGCGCTCGCGGGCCTGGTTTCGAGGTTTTTCCTGTGTGGATTTACAATCTACTTTCTGAAGCTCTTTATTGTTGCTCCAGGGCGGATCGACTTGCTGAAGATCTCGCTTCTGTTGTTTTGCTAATCTGTTAGCGCTCTGGCACTGTTTGGGTTCGCCTTTTACTAGATTCTTCTTCTTGAACTGTTAGCTCTGCTGACTTGGAGATATATGTGAAATCATGTAAAGCTTCTTTTCCTGAGTATTCTTCAATCACTAGCTTCGATCCTTCGTTGTTGATTGCAACTATCTCTCTGGATATAGCTTATTCTTATGAGATCTAGCTAGTAATTCAATTGATTCGAGGATTGTATTCCTTGAGCTATGGAAGCTCTATAATCAGCTTATATTGCACTATATTTGTGATATCAAAGGAAATCTTAGCTATATATCCTTGGATCAAAACAGATAGATAATTAGTTTTCTTATTGATTACTCCTTGGTTGTATATAACAGATTGTTCTTCTATAATGCTAAAGGTGTATGAGTATCTTTTCTATTTCCATTGTAATTATGCTTGATTAATGATATATAGGGATATGAAGTTTCCTTGAGCGCTGCTATTCAATAGTGCGCTGTACTTGTGTTTTTGAATATATATATTGAATTTGATGTAAGCATAACCTGCTTTAGAAGCTTTATATAGAAACTGTTTCAGTCTAATCATCTGCAATCCCATTATAAGCAATCCTGTTCTTTTGAGATTGTTGAAAGCTGCTTATCCTTTCTCTGAGCTTGCTTCGCTGCTTCTTGAGCAAGCTTCTTAGCTTGCTTTTGCCTGTATCATCGTTGTTCCTGATCTTTTTTCTATTAATGCTAGTTGCAGGCCTTATTGTTAATGTGAATCGTACAGAGCATCATCTTGCACTGCTATCATTCTATTTTCCTGTTCATACATTCCATGAGACAGTTATCTGGTAGTCCGATGTATGCATTGTAGTGCTATCTGTTGAGAACTTCTCTGAAGCGGAGTTCCAGTTTCTCAATAGCCTGAAGGATTTGTTCTGGTTCTCTGATAGGGAATCATTTATGTTGCACTTTCTCCGAAAAGTGCGTTCTGCAGCTATGATAGATGTAGAAGATCTATGCTAGTTTGTGATGTAGATCGTAAAGTAAGCTGATCCGAGAGTCTTTGTTTTGTTGCGCTTTGATGTTTTGCAAGGGAATGCTAGTAAAGAGCTTCTCTAGCTCTATCTTATAAACAAGATATTCAATTCATGTTGTTTTCTTGTTCTATCTAATGCTGAAGGGAAATCTTCTCTTAGGTTTGTTGAGTTCGTTGTATACGAGAGATTCTGGTGAATTATCAGATTGTTCGTCTTAGCTGATTTCTTTTGTTGCCTGAGAAGCGTTTCCGGTATTATTCAGATATTCGTATTAATAACCAAGGAGATATCATTCCTTATCCGTATCCCTGGTTATGGTATCTAGCGTAGGTGATAGGAAATAGTAAAGGGTGTTATTGCTAAGTTCTTCTTCTAATGCTTGAATGCTTTGTTTAGTAATACTAGAGCAGTCCGAGTTGCTGCTGCTCGTAGTTACGCTGAATATATGCATTTGCTCTGCTGTTGCTATTTGCCTGTGATGCTTAGGTTTCTAAGGAAACTATTCTGAATCTTCCTTACTCGAAAGGTATATTAAGCAGTTGTTATTATAGCAGAATATTCAGCTGAGATTTCCGTAATTAATAGAGTTCAATACTTGCTCTGAGAGAATGTTTTTGCTTAGTTGATTGGGTTTCTGTTGCTAAGCGATATTCATCTAGCGTTTTTCCTGAACTGGTTGCTATTTGTTCTTCCGAGATTAATAGCAGTTACATGCTATATATCTCTGTTTATTATAGTTGTAGCAAGTAATGCTATTCCTTTTGCTATACTGCTTGTTAGCTGCATTGAGTTTCATAAGATTAGCGTATATAGTGCTGCTCTGAGCTGTACTGCTATATCGATTACTATCTTTGTTTTGAAGTTTCTTGTCTGTATTAGCTGGAAATTTCCAAGTCTGACTTCCTTTCTTCTTAGACTTCTCTACTCGTTGTTCGTATAAATGATTATTAATACGGATTGCTTAGTTGGAGAATGTTGCAAAGTTCTCTAGCTAATTCTGCTTAGAGATCTCATTCTTAATATTGTTCTTAAATCTCTTATAGTAATGCTTTATAAGATTCTTATCTTTCTATAGAAGTCTTGCTAAGAGTTGCTTAAATCTAACTATATAAGCAGAAGCTAATTTAGTCTGCTTAAGATTTATAAGCTGCTAAGCTATAATATGCTCTTCGTTAGAGTTGCTAAAGATTTTCTTAAAAGCTTTCTTAAAGCTTATAAAGGAATTAAATATATTCTTAATGCTCTAAGTATGTATATCGGGATTATTCTAATGCTTCAAGTAGTTGCACAGAGAGGGTTTGTATTAGATAAGAGCATTCTTTTTAAAACGAGTTTCTGTAAGGATAACTTTCTCAGATTCTATAGTAAACTGAATTGTATAGTACAAAAAGTATGCTCTGCAATGGGTGAGAAATCCATGCAGCATCTTCTGATTGCTGTTGTATATAGCAGATTTATTCATCTTATATGTTTTCTCAGCACTACTAGTAACCACAGAGATAAATTGCGCCTGTTGAGTATATTGAGCAAGCTGAGTCTGCTGGTTAGCAATAGTAGCGCTCTGGGCTTGCTGTTATTCGCGCAGATTCTGGATATGCTGGATGAGCTGGTATACCTGATTGATCAGTTCTTTCTGAGTGGGGGCGCGCAAGAACGAAGAAGTTCCTAGAGAAGCTATCGTATTCTATATTGCTTAAGAGGGTAATACTGAACCGTTCTTGAACAAGAGTTGTTAAAATATAATAAGTATTGCAGC